ACCATACTTATACATACTTATACCACTAACCGCTAAAAGTAATTGTTGAACATTTCAGTCATGCTAAGAACCACTCAACAATAACATAGGTAAATCTACATTTATACCATGCTTATACATACTTATACCACTAACCGCGAAAAGTAATTGTTGAGCATTTCAGTCATGCTAAGAGTCACTCAACAATAACATAGGTAAATCTACATTTATACCATACTTATACATACTTATACCACTAACCGCGAAAAGTAATTGTTGAGCATTTCAGTCATGCTAAGAGTCACTCAACAATAACATAGGTAAATCTACATTTTTATTCTGTAAGTTACGGCACATTTTGAAATGTGAATGATAGTTTGATTAATTCCCAACAATTTAGTGTAGAATATCCTGCTTGCGAAATAAAATTTGGCGTCACCATTATTAATGTCTGTTCTCCCGTCATTTCAAAAGTGAATGTCAACTTTGCCTGCGTGCGTAGCTTTTCAAACGGGAGACAGACGAACGCTCGCACAGACGCTACGATCCGACTATATATATAATATCGTGTAAATAATATTCAATGTTCTATCCTTTGTTAATTAAGATACGAATCAGATAGATATCTGATTTTGGGCACTGATATCCATTGGTGAATAATGTTATTGGTATTCTAATGTTGACCGCAAACTTCTTGTTGTTTATAGATATGTATATATATAATATACAAAAATAATAATTTTGAACTAGTATAAATAGTGCTAATATTATTGGCGAGTGTTAATGTGGAATAAAGTTCTGGTGGACAATTATAGGAAGTGAATTATGACACATTTATTGGATAATGAATGCTATTATTTATGGAGAGTATACTGGTATTGATGGTGAGTGTTAACTTACTTTAATGATGTAAGCTGGTAACAAAAGATTGCAGTACTGTAGCTTAGTACTTTTATTCATTGTGAGTGTTAGTTTTAGGCCTTGAAGAATGCCTTAATGATATAATCCTAGTGCGAGAGTAGTCCCTGGTTCAAGTCCTGCTCAGGAGTGATAAAATAATTGATCTGGCGTCCGCACTAAACTCAGCATCAATATCGTGCGTGACCTTTGGAGTTTTTCTCTGGAGAAGTTCTTCATAATGAAAACATAAGAGGTCGAAATACAATGTATGCAACAAGCTTAAGTTAGGGGTTGGCAGAACTACGGCAACCTTATCGTTCTTCTTTGTCCTATTGTATGGCAACATGCAAGACACGTATATATATATATTTACATACCAGTGAACCCGTGGGCCTATGGCCCACATTTACAGGGCCGCTATAATACAAATTTATGCTTGAACTATTATTCTGTACTTTTCAGTTTAATTATCATTGCCGCTATAATGCAAGTTAAATTTCTTTGACCAAATTTGTAAGCCTACTTATTTACGTGCTCTAATGTAAATCAATGCAAAATTTGGGGATCACTTTTGGAGTAATCCCAGTAAAAGTGTTTTTGCGAAATACCCGGGTTTTCTAAGGGGTTGCCTGAAAAGTTTTACTTTTGTGCAACCTCGGGGCCTCATTTAGCGAACCCGTGGGCCTAAGGTCCACAATAACAGGGCCGCTATAATACAAATTTAATACTTGAACTACTACCATTCTCTACTTTTTCAGTTTAATTATCATTGCCGCTATAACGCAAACTGAATTTCATTAACCAAATTACAAACGGTAATTAGTAAGCCTACTTATTTACGTGCTCTAATGAAGGAGATTTCGGAAAATACCCGGTTCCCCAGGGGGGGGGGGAGTTTTACATTTGTGTAAACCTCGGGACCGAAACGATTCGTTTCGTACCACTTAGAAGTCGGTACAACCAGTGGATTAAGAGGAGTTACGTGACACACAGACACTGAATCTTATTATATATAAGTACCTAAATCATGTAAAATGGAGCAGCTTAACCATATATTACTTGTCCTATTGTCGGGGCCCCCCAGTAGCACAGCGGTATGTCTGCGGACTTACAACGCTAGAATCCGGGTTTCGATACCCGTGGTGGGCAGAGCACAGATAGCCCATTGTGTAGCTTTGTGCTTAATTACAAACAAACAAACCTATTGTCGGGATTCGTTGTTAGACACGCGTATATCAGTTCTATTTATAATAGTTAGGCACAAGGCTCACAGAAAAAAACTTGGGGGGGTCAAGTAATTCAAGTTTGAAAAATTATGAAATCGAAATACAAATACCTTATGATTTTTCAATAACATAGAAGAAGAATTTTACATATCTAGTCATTTTTTCTTTTTGAAAATCCAGGGGGGGGCAAGTGACCCCCCTTGCCCATTCCTGCGGGCGCCCATGGTTAGGCACCATACTTTAAACTCTCATTTTTTTTGTCACTAGCTAATAATCACAAAACTCATTGCTAAGCTGTCTTCGTACTTAAATTACCAGAACAAAAAACATAGAAAACATACTATATCATTATAGGAAACATACTATATTATTATAGAAAACATACTATATCATTGTAGGAAACATACTATAACATTATAGGAAACATACTATGTCATTATAGAAAACATACTATATCATTATAGGAAACATACTATATCATTATAGGAAACATACTATATCATTATAGGAAACATACTATGTCATTATAGGAAACATACTATATCATTATAGAAAACATACTATATCATTATAGGAAACATACTATATCATTATAGGAAACATACTATATCATTAATTACGTTGACTAAGATGATAAAATGTCAAAAGTTGTAACAGAAAAGGAAGAAAGAAATAATTTAAAATATTAAATTAACATTGCAGGTCTAAACAAAGTATAATAAACGCTAATTGTAATCATTTCCGGCTTTGCTTTAAAACAGATGATATAATGTATATTTAATTTTTTTCTTGTAAATTGGAAGGCACATAAAAAAGAAACCCTAAACATGTGGAGTAAGTTTAGCTGATTAAGTGTGTGTTTAGAACAAACAACAACATTTATATATATTTCGCATACAAATTCACTCTAGCTGTCAAGCTTTTATGTGTGTACACAAAGAAGCTGTTAAAGTCCAGCTAATATGTTTGTACACACATAACAAAGCTGTCCAAGGCAATCTGGTATACCTGCACAAAGTCAAGAAGTTATGCCTGTATCAGTAGAGGTTTATTTTGATTTCTTCATGTATATATATATATAGGCTTTCGCTGAAAATTGCTCTAAGTAATGTATATAAGAGCAGGCTAGTTTACATCACTAGCATTTGTTAATAATGTTTGTTTCCAATGCACTGTCTGAAGTGAAATTATGAGGCCATTCCTACACGTACTTTTTGGCCACTTAATCCAAGCTGAGTTGTATTTAATCACTGATGTTTAATATATCAGTTAGAATGAATAGCAGAAGTATTTAATTATTATCACTAAAACACTGATGAAACGTGGTCTGGTGGCTAGTGTGCTGGATCCTAATTCGCATTACATTACAACAACAACAAAACTCGCGTGCTGGAGTGTGAACCATAGATCCTAATTCGCATTACATTACAACAACAACAAAACTCGCGTGCTGGAGTGTAAACCAAGGATCCTATTTCGCATTACATTACAACAACAACAAAACTCGCGTGCTGGAGTGTCAACCAAGGATCCTAATTCGCATTACATTACAAAAACAACAAAACTCGCGTGCTGGAGTGTCAACCAAGGATCCTAATTCGCATTACATTACAAAAACAACAAAACTCGCGTGCTGGAGTGTTAACCAAGGATCCTAATTCGCATTACAACAACAACAAAACTCGCTCTGTACTTTGAAGCTGTAGTTGCGTTATAAGAGCAGCGGTTAAATGTCACTTTTTGGTTAGACAAGAATTGGCGATTGGTATTGTGGGTTAATTGCCTTTTCTTGTTGACTATCAAATCAATAATAAGGAGAGCCACTTTTGTAATATTGCGCAACTGTTTTAGAACAGAGAATACAATTTTTTGAACACATAAAACAAAGAAAATATTTCATATTTCACCCTTTATACCATTGACTCTCTTTCTATACGATTTTTTTTTTGAACAAAACTATCTTGTGGAGTTTTTGACAAAACATTGATTGTTTTCTATGACCTAAATTCAACCGGTCCTACTTCTTATATGCATGCAGTTAAGTCTAAGAAATCTCTTTAAACGTATATAAAAAACAGTAGTTGCTGCTATGCTATGCACACACATGACATAATAACATATTTGTTGTTTATGTCAAATATTCGCTCAAAGCAACACAAGGGTTATCTGCACTAATCTTCATTTCGTATACTAGACGGTAGGTAGCTAGTCAACAACACCTATCGCAAACTCTAGGGCTACTATAATCGAAGAGGAATATTTACTATATGCCTTAAAAACAGAAATTCATTGTTTTCATGACATGTTTCTACAAAGATAGAACACTTGCATAGCTTCGAAAATTAATTATTAATAACTTGTGGTCTAAAGAAAGCTAAGTAAAAAAAAAGCTTTTAGGGTTCAGATTATTACTTTTATAGCTTCTGTTGAATTGCTGTGTTAAAAGTTTCTGAGTAATACAATTGCAATGTTAAAGCTACGAAAAATATAAATTCTGTGGAATTTGTTAAAGCCCCCTGGAACGACATACAACGTACAAAAATGTTTTTACAACTGATAACTGTGTAGAAAGGATGTATTTAGAATGATTGTTAACTAGCAAAACTTTGTTACTGAAAAGGTCCTTTCGATATAAAACAATTCAAAGTAATAATAATAAAAAAACAACAACACTTTATGAATTAAATGTTAATCCAGTTCTACTTTTATTCCTTTAGATGGCGCGACAATCGATAAATGAATTTGCTTTCAAATTACGGAAACATATACGTTATGTACCATAGCCAATAGATTAACAACTTAATTACTATATATTTTAATTTCATGTAGTATACATTTACTCGGATGTATAGATAAACCATGTATTGTTTTACATAGAACTGGCGTTACACTTACATCATGGAAATCCGCCATCTCGGAGGCCATAGGTGTAGGATACCTGTACTGCAGAGAAACCGAAGCAAGGATCGCTGTACCACTAGACATAGGTCGGAGAGTGGGTTCAACTAACTTGTATAAAGTGATTGCTTCTTGCGTGACTGACGCGTGCAGTTTCACGTCTTCAAGACAGAATGACTCGACTATCTACCGAGATCACCTGTTTTCACTGGATCCTTTCTGTCGCCTGCAGTTCGTATTACTGCCAATCAAGCCTGCTTCTGTCAAGCGCCAATCACTGACCACGCACAAAGGCGACAGCTCACTGATGGGGCTGGAACACAGAAAAATATGTTTTCTGAATGAACCACTGCTGATCCAACTGCAGGGTGCACGCAGTGCACGCGCCACCTTTGGGTCCCTCGCCCTAAAGGCTTTTGCGGAAAGCGCGGATGCTGACGATGGATGTCACGCAGACCACCAAGACGCTTTAAAAAGATCATATGACTGATACTACCGTACGATTGGCCACTAGAATATTCGGCCTATCCTACTTAAAATATTATGTTTCTCTCGGCATTCCTGCCAAGAGCGAGTTCCAGTGAGTATGACTGCTTCTTGACTAACTTACCTTCCAAGACTGTAGCGTAGCGGTACTCGGAGAATTGACTTGGTATGTTTGTGATACGTTTCTGCTATGTTAAGACTAAAAGTTACTATTTCAGAAACGTATAACGAATACTAAAACCGTTACAAGTTAAATAAAAATGTGAACATTGATTAGCAATCTCATCGCTCATAACGTTTCAAGTAATTATTGAATCATGCTTGATTAATCCAACAACAACCAACTGTAAGTAATTATAAAACCATAAGTTTATTTATCCAACAACACCGAACGTTAAATGTTTATAAAACCTTGAATTAGTTTATCCAATAACACCAAACTTCAAATAATAAATATAACTATAACTTGATTTACCCAGCAACACCAAACTTCAAGTAATAAATATAACCATCACTTGATTTACCCAACAATACCAAACTTTAAATGTTTATAAAACCTTGAATTGGTTTATCCAACAACACCAAACTTCAAGTAATAAATATAACTATAACTTGATTTACCCAGCAACACCAAACTGAGGGTAATAAATATAGCCATCACTTGATTTACCCAACAATACCAAACTTTAAATGTTTATAAAACCTTGAATTGATTTACCCAGCAACACCAAACTTCAAATAATAAATATAACTATAACTTGATTTACCCAACAACACCAAACTTCAAATAATAAATATAACCATCACTTGATTTACCCAGCAACACCAAACTGAGGGTAATAAATATAGCCATCACTTGATTTACCCAACAATACCAAACTTTAAATGTTTATAAAACCTTGAATTGGTTTATCCAACAACATGAAACTTCAAGTAATGAATTTAGCCATCACTTGAGTTATCGAGTAGCACCAAACTTCAAGTTATTATATAATCAGAAGTTGATTACAAGACACTGAAATATTAATAACGTTACACATGAAATGATTGTTTGCAGCAATTTCATCACTTTATTATAGTAAATTACACAAAACTAGTAACTTCTGCGATCCTAGAGTTGTGCTAACCAATAAAGTTGAAGTAGCCCGTTAAAATAGTTGTTTTACCTTCTTTCGTGTCTATAATGCTGCAGTCGTGCTAATTAATAAAACTAAAGTAGCCCGTTAAAATAGTTGTATTACTTTTTCATGTCTATAACGCTGCTGTCGTGATAATCAATAAAGTTGAAGTAGCCCGTTAAAGTAGCTGTTTTACTTTCTCTCGTGTCTATAATATAATAAAGTTGAAGTAGCCTGTTAAAATAGTTGTATTTCCTATTTCGTGTCTATAATGTTGCAGTCGTAATAATCAATAAAGTTGAAGTAGCCGTTAAAGTAGCTGTTTTACTTTCTCTCGTGTCTATAATATAATAAAGTTGAAGTAGCCTGTTAAAATAGTTGTATTTCCTATTTCGTGTTTATAATGTTGCAGTCGTAATAATCAATAAAGTTGAAGTAGCCGTTAAAATAGTTTATTGCTTTCTTTCGTGTCTATAATATTACAGTCGTGTTGATCAATAAAGCCGACTTGGACCGTTAAAACAGTTATATCACCTTGTTTTGAGCGTTATAAGTCAGCATCGGACCTCCCTTTGCTAATGCAAAAAAAAAATCAAAAATCAAAGGAAAAAGTGAGAAATTATATAGTAATAAAGAGAAAGGTTGAGATGTAAGCGGTGGAGAGATTGTACTTTATTAGAATCAGTTATGCTCGTAATCCTGTATGGTATCTGAAAAGTATAGGTAATTTGGATTTCTTATTGATAACTTGCAGATGGGCATGCTGATTTGTGTTTTTCGAAAACATTACATAACTTATGTGCCCTTCCGTAACTACATAAAAATTACATCTCAAAACGTTTAGAAAATATATATACTAATTCGACTTCTTTTTGCCATTATGACTGATATTCTTATATATGTATACAATTACCCTTGTTTTATTAATTATTAGAAATGTGAAGTACATATATTTTTGAAAAATTAATCACTACAAAATCTGTTCTTTCTTTGAAATAACATCTGATGAGTTGAAAAGAAACCTATATGTATCTTATGTATTTACTGTAGATCAAACTTTCTATATTTTGTAGTTCATTTAACCTATATAAAAGCCAATTTGTGCAACGTTAAGTCACGCTTGATTTCTCGAAATAGGAGGAGTCATAAAAGCCAAAGTGCATTTATTCAGAAAGAATAGTTCGATTACTGTCTGCCCATTACGATTTTAGTGACGGGGGTGCAAGAGAGCCGTGAGATGGGGGTGGGCGTGGTACTTTATAAGTGTAGTGAGTATAATAATATACAATAAGCCTAAAGTAAAGATGTGTGTGGGATCACCTAGCTTAGAGCCAAGTGCATAAAATTTATCACGAAAGTAAAAATATCGATCCCATTTTAAACTTAAATCGTTTTTGAATTAAGATATTTTCTGTAATATCACCAACGTTTTGAATATATAAAAAACACAAGCAAACCTCTTTAATCAACGGAGACTAAATTAAGAAATCAACAAATATTTTTCCAGTTTTGTTGTCTATACATTTCATTTTATACTTTCAGTACATAGACTAATAACAATATTAGATTATACTTTTGTTGCTAAGCAACATGACATAAAAGCCATTGTTGGAACGTACTGCTACCAAAACATACTGCCTTTTTTATATATCAGAAGCTGTTAATCTAACTGATTTTTACC